TACTTTTACATCTCATTATCAATGTAAATATGCATTGAAAAACATGTTTTCTATCATTTGTCAATGCATAAATGCATTGTTGCCAAACACGACAAAAAATGAACCAGAGTGAAAATTTACCTTGAATCGGGATTTACTCTCGATTTGCATCGTTTCCAAACGCAGCCTTAGAATTTTGAAAGAAACTTAGGTCATCGTAACAACATTGTTGATTACTTGATTTACCAATTCGAACTTTGCTCTATCACTGATTCAAATTTTTTTTCTTCTGCTGCACCATAGATTACAGACTTTTACAAAAAGAAAATAAAAATTAACGAAGCTTGATGAATTGACAAAATGAGATACGTTTAGAAACAAACTGTAAAAACAGTGAGCGGGACAAAATGTTTTTTTTTTACCAAATTGCTCGCCCTTAAATTTCCTTACATTCCATCGAGGAAGCACTGAAAAGTTGCATCGTCCAACCTAAAGAGGAAGACGAAGACAACTATTGCTGAATGGTGATGTTGTTCAACAACTTGAGTGAGATCTCTCTCAGTCCATAATACAGAGCTGCTTTCTCCTCCTCTTCATCCTCCCTTTCCTCTTCATTGGAAGAAGATGACGGTGACAACAACAAGGCAAACTCAGTTTTCACCAGTAGATGAATCTATTGGGTCTTGGGTTGAGGTGGGAAGCCGGCCATGTCTGACTATCCAAAGCCCTCCCATTAGCAAACCGCCTAAAACAGAACTTACAATTGAACTCTGAAACAGAGCTTCTAAGTCTCAAAGAACCGTTCAACCTAAAAGTTTAAGCTGTTGCTTGTTAAGTGAGGTCTTTGACTTGAATAGGTTTTAATCTCAAACATGCCCCCTCATAAAAGCCCATTGGACTTGAAGTGTGAACAAGCACAAGTCCATTTATACCTTGTGCTGAAACTTAATTAATTGCTAGCGGGGACCCGTGCGATACACAGGATTTATTAAGCGAAAACTAAATAATAGAAATGGTCATTTACTAAAATACCCCTTATAGTTTTATGGATTTACTAAAATCTACCATATAGTTAGTATTTTACTAAAACACCACTCATAACTTGCAATGGATTTAATCAATCCTCCATTGGATGACAGTGAAAAATGATAGTGTTGACCCTAATGTTCATTTAAATAAATTTAATCAAAAGAAAATAAAAATAAAAATACAATTTTTCCCTTAATAAGACACGAACAACCACTCTATTAGCTATATTTGGTCAATTTTGTTTTCTGTACAAAAAAATGTTAAGGGTATTTTTAAATAAAAAATCATGGGCCTAATGGCAAAACAAACACTCCTTAATGAAAGGTTGATTGAGTAAATAAGTTGTAAAATATATGGGATGTTTTAGTAAAATGAAAATTATAAGGTAAGTTTAAGTAAATATGTAAAAGTATAAGGTGTGTTCTAGTAAATGACTCTAATAGAAACACATAAGACTATACAATTGTTTTATATTTTTAACTTTTTAAATAATTAATAATTATTCATATTTTATATACTACTTTTAATAATTTTTTTTTATAATACAAAAATAATAATGATTAATTTTAGTTAGGTTTATTTAATCAAACTGATGAAACCGACGAACCTGATCAACTCGATTCGAGTTGGTCAATTTTCTAGTATTTTAAGTTGGCTTTGGTTAAAAAATTTCTCAATTCAACCAAGTTGGATCAGTTTCACTTTGGCCATTTGTAAACTGACCAAAATCGAACGACCTAACCATGGATATATATTAATATTTTATATTTTAAATATAAAATTTAATATAGAAAAGTGGGAAATTTCTCATATTTCTTAGTCTAAAATGTTTTATATCATAAATCTAATTTTTAAATTTATTTTTTAATAATTGCATTGTAATTTTATACTTTAAATCTTTTGAACTAACTGACCAAACAAAAAAATCGACCCAAACCGATACAACTTGAGTGGGTCGATTTTCACAAAAAGGTCAGTCGGTTTCAGTTGACCAACTCTCCAACCTGACCAGGTCAATTTGGTTGGCCAAATAGCCTACGTCCGAACCGAACCAACTAATGAACACTCATAATTTCAGCTAAATAAATAGTCTTATCTCTCATAAATAATAATAGTTTAATCTCCAATAATTATAAAAAAATTAATACGAAAATACATAATTATTGAAAATATAATGATAATGAAAAAATACAATAAGTACTAAAAATATATTAACTTAGTCAATAAATAGTACAATCTCAAATAATAGTTTAATTTCTAATAAATATTTATCAATAAGTTATAACAAAAATACGATAAATACAATAAGTACAATATATTAAATTAAAAAAAATTAAAAATAGTAGTTTAATCTCCAATAATTATTGAAAGTTTTCTATTAAATAACAAAACAAAATAAATTTATACATAATCATTGAAAATACATTTATCACAAAAAACAATAAATAATTACTGAAATACAATAAATATTATTTTTAGTATATATAATTATATAATAAATACAGATTAAGAGATTAAAATTATAATTAATAAATATTATATTTTTGAAAGTTATTTTATCAAATTATTTGATTTAAGTGAAATTAGTTATTTACAATATTATGTAAAAATATTAAATTATTATTAATTTCAATAATTTCAACTTTTCAGAATTTTTTAAAATTTATTACATAATTTCTTTATTTTAACTATTTAAAATCTAGTTTTGTTAAATATTTTTCTATTTAAAATAATTAGTTATTTAGATACTTAAATAATATGTAAAATATTTAAATTTTAAAATACTAATTACTTATTGAATTTAATTATCCATAAAATCATAATTTATACTATTATTACTATTATTACAAAATTTCGTTATTAATTTTGTAATATATTAAATTGTTAATTTTAATATTATGTTATAATTATTTTTTTACTTTGAAGATTTTTTAAAGTTTATTACATAAATTCGTTATTTAAACTATTTAAAATCTAGTTATGATAAATATTATTAAATCTATAAAATATTTAATTTTTTTTTTGTTATTTGAATTTTATTTTATTAAGCGATTACATATTTTTGAAAATTTGAAAAACATTTAAATTGATAATCCAGAAAAACATAATTTAAATTGTTAGTACATAATTTTTTGATATATTTTGTAAAAACTTAAAATTATTTTTTGTGTTTTTAATAATTATTTTAAAGTTATTATATAATTTTGTTAGAATATTTAAATAATTCTTAATTTTTTTTATCCAAACTTTCTTTAGATAGATATAGATAAAAAGTAGGGGAGAGGATAAATAGGAATTATAGATAATTTAGGAGAGAAACTCTATACTAAATTAGATATAATTTTTGAGATAAATAGGAATTAGAGATAATTTAGAAGGTAAATAAGAATTATAAATAATTTTGGAGAAAGTGGGGGAGACAATTTAGAAGAAGAGATTATTTAGGTTATTGGGAGAGTGTATCTCGTTGGTTGTTTCAAAAATGACATGGAATAAAAAAAATAAAAAATTAAAAAAAAAGAGAAAATTTCTTGACCGCTTTGTTTATATATATATAATGGGGACATGGGGTGACCAATAGTAGACCACTTGGTCAAAGTGGCTCTGATGTCCTTGAAACATTCAACCTAAAAGCTTAAATTTTAAGTGAGGTCCTTAAATAGGTTTTATTCTCTAACACTAAGCACATTTTAATCTTGCCTTGCACTTCCTCAGTTTCTCTATTCTCTGAAGGAGTTCTTCACCAAAAGTTAACTTGGTCATCTCCATTAAGCTCAAATATATCAGTCATCTCTGAAAGTGACGAGTAAGAAAAACAAGAAGTAATAGAAGGTGGCTTCTAACCAGTCATCTCTTCATATCGCTATCTTTCCTTTCGTGTCCAAAGGCCACACCATCCTATTCCTCCACCTTGTTCACCTCCTATTCCTCCATCGTATCTCTGTTACCATCTTCACCACCCCTGCAAATTCTCCCTTCATCCATTAATCCTTCGCCAGTCATCGGCACAAGCTCCACCTCCACCTGTATACCCAGGGTCATGTAATATGGGATGAGCAACTTCTCCCCAACCATCTGCCATATCATGGTTCAGTATCGGCTTCTTAACTATGTTGGATTCGATGACGAGCCCTTCAATATTCTGCCTTCCGGGGCTCATTCGGGCGTGATTTCACAAAGGGCAATTCGGTCAAAAGAAGTTATTTATCCCACTCACTCTTTTTGCAATTTGTTTTCAAACATATCGGATTTTGTCAATTCATAAAGCTTTGTTAATTTTTTTCGTAAAAAGCCCTATATTTCACTATAGAATTCCCATGGCATTGCCACTTATGCATAAGCCAAAATTTTGGCTGTATCTTTGCCAGCAATTTCACTCAACTAACATTATCATAGAGAGCAACAGCAAAGCTTTGGTTGAAGTCTTAAATGGCAATTCCTCTGTACCTTGGGCTCTTCATTACATTCTGCTGAAGATCATGAATGTTTCTTTGGTTCATGCTTTCAGGGAGGTAAATAAAACCAGCTGACTCCTTGGCTAATATAGGTATTGAGGAGGGTACTCTCAACGTCACAAGCATCTTACTAATACTGAGCTACTCGCCAGCACTAGACATCGTCTTCCTTCCCCACAGCAAGAATAAAATGGTATTTCTTTTTTCTTTGCTTTGTTTTTGCATGCTTGTAAGGGTAGGGTTTAGCAATGTTCAAAGTATTAACACGTATCAGCCGATACGTATTGTTTCGGGACCCTTTCGATATGCCCCTATGCCGATACGTATCGATTCGCCCGATACACCCATACCGACGTATCGATATTTTAAACCTTGGGGTTGAGATCGTGAAAAGAGTTTTGTTCTCTGAGTTTAGGGGCAAGGTGGGCTACATCGTTCCTGTAACTTTATATTTTCCCTTTGATAATGGTTAATAAAATTTTAAGGTAGTTGGAGTAAAGCTTGGAGTAAAAAAAAAAAAAAAGATTTTACTAAGAATTGAAGTTAAATTGACAATTTCACTAATGTGCTTGGAGCTTCAAGACTTGGAGCCAAATATAGAAACCTTAATAGAAAGGAAGTACCAATTGAGATGGTTCAGTTGGTAGGATCTCTGACTCGTTGAAGCAGAGTCGTGGGATTAAATCCTGTTGCCACCAGGGTTATCCATAGGAATGAGTAGTTTTCTTGCTTATATCCTCTTTCTTTCAACCTATGGCAACAATTGAAACCATTACTACTATTCTAATACATCAACAGTTGTAGCAGATAAAAAAAAGTTGGAGGCTCCGCCTTATTTCAATCTTTGATCCCCATTTGCCATGACATGGCGAAGTTCTTTCCTAGAGGCAATTCCAAACCTTTAACCTCAACCATCACAGTCTTCTGTTTATCTCCTCCATCCTCTACCTCCTCTAAATACCTCAGGTCCGAAGCACTAATCTCCACGTTTGAGATGCTGGAAATTGGCTGTCCATCAACCTCAACAGCCAGATCCTCTGCCATTCCTTTCAACCCCAACACAGTCACTTTCTCTATAATCCACCCATTCGCCAATGCGAACTTACCCTCTTGAACCTCGGACCACACCTTCACCTTTTGCTGGCTAACGCTAGCATACAAATCTATGTAACTGGAGTAACCATTTCCAAGCTTCATCTCTGGAAGCTCATCATCATCAAGGAAAAGCTTTCCTTTGGCCTCTGCATCATCAGCCCCTGCTGGGAGTGTCACCACAAGGCTAAACGGCGTCATTCTCGCTTCTTTGGATGTCATACCGCCCCGTTGCATTGGAATGATGGCGTTCTGATACACATGAACGTTTATGACATGCAATGGAGCATCAAGCGTGAAGTAGTGTCCATCTTCTGATACAACAGTCTCCGTCATATCAAATAAACTGTACCAAGTGCCCGGAGGAAACAGAGCTTTAACCTCTGATTTCCCCTGCTCGAGTACCGGTGAGACCATGATACTGCTGCCTAGCAAGAACTGTGTGCTCAACCCATAACATTTGCTGAAATTTGGGAATGAGAAGAACAGCGGCCTGGCCATTGGGGCGCCACTGGTGTGGGCTTCATAGTTCAAGGTATACAAGTAAGGGAGGAGCTTATAGCGCATGCCCAGTGCATTTCGGGCTGACTCTGCCACAGAGTCCCATACGTAGAGCTCCTGGCTTGGGGAATAGTAGTTGGCATGATCCCTGGAGAAGGGGTAGAATGCACCTAGCTCAATCCATCGGTTGCAGAGCTCTTCTGTGGGCTGTGGGTAGAAGCCACATATATCCGAACCAACCATGGGTATCCCAAATATACCAAAATTGAGAATGGTGGAAATGGAATACCTTAGGTCGTTCCATGTGCCCTGGTTATCACCAGTCCAGTGTGCAGCATACGATCCTGACCCAACAAAGGTAGAGCGCGATAGCACAAATGGACGCTTGCCCATGAGTCCTTGGAGCGCCTGATGAGTGGCAATGGCATGAGAGAAACCATAGATACTGTGGGCGTCGTACTCCAACACTCCATTGTAATGAAGAGCACTTGTAGCAATAGTTTTGTTGCCAATTGGCGCTAGCGCTCCCGATGCATTTATCTTGTAAGGTGGATCATCCCACCTGGTCTTGTTTATGATCTCACAATCCAAGCAACAGACCCAGCCAGGGTTGCCAGGACATGGCCTGTTCTTTGGAATCGTGCATTTACCGGTGCAGAAATTGGAAGCCTCGTTCATGTCAATCCATAAGCCATCGACAGGCACAAGTTCACGGAAACGTCGGATTTCGTCAGTCCACCAGGACACAGTTTTGGGGTTAAGGAAGTCTGGGAAATAGACTGGCCCTGGCCAGACTTGAGCTAGGTAAGGCTTTCCCTCATACTTGATGAACACGTCGTTCGCCATACCACGTTGGTATACGCCATAAGAGGAATTGACTGCGATGCCAGGGTCGATGAGCACAATGTATTTCATCCCTCTGGAATGTAGTTTCTCCACGAAAGCCGAAAGCTTTGGACGAGGGAAGTTAATGGGGTCGAGGGTGAAGTCCTTGGCCCCGTCCATGTGATCGTCATCCGTCCACATCACATCGAGTGGGATCTGGGCCTTCCTGTACCTCTCAACAACAGATTCTAGGACCGACACATTACGGTAACCCCACCTGCATTGGTGGAAACCTGTACAATAAATTCATGATGAGATCGAGAGTGTTCCAGCTTCTAACTTCTAATCACCAAAAAACAGCTAGTGCTTCCCTTCCTTCTTATTAATAAGAATAATAACAACACAGCTAAACAAGAAAAAAATTTCATGGATGATGGATCTCCTTCACTCATCACTAGATCACGACCATGAAGCAGAGAGAACAGAAGCTCGGCAAGCTTTATGATTTGGATGATATCTTTTTATTTATTTTGTTTGTTTTTGGTGGAAGGGAGGAGGACCATGGACATGGCTGAAGTGAACGTCTATATAACAATGGAGGTGTCTAGTAATAACAAATAAATTCAGTTTGAGTGGAACAGGAAAAATTTAAAAACTGTGGTAAGCAACTTATTGTTCCATTACTCACTGCCACCAATCTAGACTAATCAGCACTGTGTTTTATTAATTGCTGTATGAGACGAAACTAAAACCATATCAATTATCAATAGGAGCTGAAGCAAGGATGTTGACCATACTATGTGGAGCTGAAATTTGGTCCAAGAACAAGAAACATGTGGCCAGTCAATCTGATTTTCAGAGTATGGCCAGTCATGAGACGGACCATCAGAACAGTGGGTCACGGGTATGAAACGAACTTCAGTACAGAAACAAGTTTCAAGACAGTTGTGATTATCTTAGAACAATCAAAGGTGAAATCCACCGACTTGTTTTGCAAAAGTCAAAGGTGAAATCCAAGGATGGTAAGGGTTTAGAATAAAGATAATGTTAAATCCACTGTATCATGTGAGAATCCCATCTGATTAAGCATTAATTAGGCTATATTTGGTTTGACAGAAAATAAGAGAGAAACGAAAAGTTTGGACGGAAATTTCTCAAGGAATTTCACAAAATTTGTTAACTTTTCCTCAACTTTCTGATTCTATCTTATTTTCCATCGAACCAAACACAACCCAAGGGATCCCCCCACCCCGGTCCGGCGGTCCCCAATAAGAAAATATAACAGAAAAATATCTTTATTTCACACATAATAAGGGAAAAGAAGGATTGGCTCAATTTTGTTTGTGGGTCGTTTGGAAGGGGTGCGGATAAGTCCAAACCGAGGGCCCCACCCAACAGCTAACTCATTTTGGGAGGAGGGATTAGGGCACATCCCATTTCTTTTTATGGATTAATTACACAAAGTCACTCTATACTTACAGAGTAATGACACTTAACCACTGAACTTCTGGATTCCAGCGCTTTGCCCCTGCTATTAGCATTATATTGGTTAATTTAGTGGAATATTCTTTTAAATATTTCTAAAATCCCAAACTACCCTTATATTATTTCAAAGACCATTTTGTCCTTTTAAATTAGATTTTCTAAAATTCTAACTCTCACATGTTTTTTTTTTTTTTCAAGTTTCTTTCAACAAAGTTCATTTTGAGAATGCCTTAACAATATAATTGATTCATCATGGTCTTGAGAACACGTTTTGTGCTTTAGGGTTTTCTTTTATTATTTTGACATTTATTGCTATTTTTTTATCATTATTATTTTGACATTTGCTGCTATTAACCTATAGAGTCTCCAATGGTCAATTTAGTGATTTTACTTTTTAACCATTAACACTGTTAATGGGCCAAGGGGCAAAGTGCTGCAATTCATAGGGTGGTTATATGTAATTTACCCTTTTTATCCATAGAAAAGATTTGGGCACGTTCCACTATTCCAGTGTTGATAAATGGGGCATATCCCCAGTAAAAAGTCCAAAAAAAAAGCACCATAGAAGTCAAATTGTATCGGTATTTTTTCTTTCTAATGCATGCAATAAAAAATAACAAAAAAATATCAAATTATTGCATGTAATAAAAAAGTCGGATACTCCCATATCACTTATCTTTTATTTTGTCAAAAGTAGTGGCTGCAATCATTTTTCCCCTCCACCTTTAGGTCCTCGTGAATATTGGAAGTTTGCAACTGTGTTGGTTGAATCTCCACGTCATGCAGGGGAGGAGATAGCTCTAGCAGGGCAAGAATGAGCTCAAAGAATTCGTTTTCCCTTTTTGGTGAAAGTAAATGAGCTCAAAGATTTTTTTTTGAAAGTAAATGAGCTCAAAGATAAGATATGCAGTGCAATTTTTTTATCTATTTTTTTTGTACTAGTACAAATGCATGGGAATACAAATGAAAAAAAAAATGTAAATTCCCGTTATTTTACTGCAATAAAAAAAACAATGCAAATTTACACTCAAATCATTTGCACAGATAAAATTTGAAACAAAAATAAACCAGAATTTACACTCAAATCATTTGCACAGATATAGTTTTGCATCAATGCAAATTTATTTGCATTGCAAGTTGCAACCAAACACAGCCTTAGTTAAAAAGGTTCGAAGGGATGGCCTAAAGCCTAATATTTATTTACAGACTACACGGATTTAATAAGAAGTGCAGTGTTCATCCAGTATTTCTAAAGGAAAATTGAATGCTCAAGAAAAAGATACCAATTGAAACACCAGCTAAAATGGTGAAAGTGATGAATAGAGCTGGGTTCAATGCAGCAACCATGTCTGTATAAAAATAAGCATCATTCGCTATCAACCTTCATTTCATAATTCCTTACTCATCCCAATCGAGGACCACACCATTAATCATCAACTGCCCGGATGGTGGTCCAAGTCCAATCAAATGATCCTGATTTTAGGCTGTCTTTGAATTATAAGTCTGAAAGTATTCCTGAATCCGCTACTTTTTTATGTTCCGTTTGGGTCAGAAAATGGGGGAATCCCAAAATCCAAACACAGCCTTGTGAAATGTAGAAGCATAATTAGCCAACCATGTTTATTAGAGGGTTAATTAGGTCATTAGCTATGTTTATAGCCTAATAGGGAATAAATAACTGTATGATGTACGACACTGATAATAATGACTACTGGTAATTCAGTTTATCAAACTAGCAGAAAAGGGAAAAAAAGCTTCCACTCAGCTAAAGTAATAATTAGAATAAGCAGGAGAATCATAATAAGTATCATAGCACAGAAGAAAAGCTGAAGCTGAACATACCTAGAGCCCAGTAAGGCATTGGAGCAGGACGACCCACCAAGGCTGTGTACTGATCAACAACAGACAGAGGGGTTGGACCTGAGAAAAAATAGAAATCCAACACACCCCCAATAATCTTGTAAGTCAAGGAGCTCTCTCTGTAAAACACATCCATCCCATTGCTGTTCAGCAACAGAACTGCATGTGCTGAAGCCTCCCCACCAACATTTCTAAGATCCATGTACACCGGATGAGACCCATATAGGTCCATGTTGAGATTGATTGCAGATATATCTGTGGTATACAGAGTGTAGGGATCGTTGGGCTGAATCTTAATCCCATTTGGTTGGGTGTTCTCTCCAAGCCCGTACAGTGAAGCATCTTTAGGCAATTTGGTTGAGATTTCAAGATACTGATCTTTGAACACCAAATTCCCATATGGGTCTGACTCATCGATGGTTGAATTAAAAAGGACTTGCCCATTTGATTTCCTCCTCACTGCAAAGCCAAATGGGTCTGTCGTGTAGCTGAAGATAAGCTCCTCTCCGGAGTAGTCAGAAGCTGCAAAGGGAAGTTTTCTGGACTTGCCAAGAGTTTTCTTCAATGGAGGAGGCTGTTCTCTTGGTAGCAAGTTGTACGGAACCTCCCATCTTTGCTTATCTGCATCAGTTATGTGAACCCTCAATCGATCTTGAGTTTCATGCCTAGAAAACCAAACAGCAAACGCATTCATTCTCAGCAATGTCTGTTAAAAAAACCAAGGAAAAAGAAGAAGAAGAAGAAGAAGAAGAAGAAGAAAAGATGGCCATAAAAAGAACCAGAAGAAATCAGTGTAAAAAGAGGAAAATATACTTGACAAAGAGCTGCAAATAAGGAATATCAGGACCATATGTGGTAGTCTTTTGCTTGACTTGCAAATAACCCACAAGACCCCCATTTGGAGACTCTTCAATGGAGATTAGTCGGTACCCCTGCCCAATCTTAGTGGGCGATGCAAGAGCACTCACACAGAGAAGAAGAAGAATAAGAGAGACAGCAAGATGAGGTAGGAGACGAGGAGGTGATGGACAGGGAGAAGAAGAAAACATCTTTACTGTGAAGACTGAAGAGGCTTAGAGGACAGTTGCTTGGACTGTGGGGGTTTATAATAGGTGAGTATGGTAAAGGGCCATCCCATGCATTTGATGCTGTGGAGTAACCTGTAACCGAGTAAACAGTAATGGTTAGATGTGATGATAGTTCAGTCCGAAGGTCCTACCTGGTTAAAGCCTTGAGACTTTAGGCTTCTCTTTTCTTCCTTAGACAGACTTTATTACTTTGAAGGATGTACAAGAAAATAATATCCAAGGCTTGAGACTTGAGAGAGAGAGAAAGAGAGAGAAATCTCTTTGATTACATTCTTTTTTAATGAAAACATGGAATCATATTAACATCAAATGAAACATAAATGCCATCTCCTGACAAACTCCCAACCGTGATTCTCGCGGCTTCAATCCCCAACCCCTCTCACAGAGTTGGACTAATGGACTGGGAGAGTGGGTTCTGATTCAGTGGACAACCTCTCATATTACAGGGAGGCCGAGATCCCCCATCTCTACCCTTCCCTCGTCAGTCGTCACCTCATCTAGGGGATATATCTGGGCCATGAACAATTTATCCATTTTCTCTCATTTTTCTTTTAATTTTAATATTATATACAGAGGCGTACTAGATCATAATACCATAGACAATATGAATGAAAACCCGCTTCCCAAGATGAAGATAAAGATAATGAGAGGATGTTTGGGACATGATTGTGTTGAGGAAAGGTAGTATTTAATCCTTGTGACCATTGAAGATTGTCTTTATTTTACTAATTCAATAATATTTATTAATATTTAAACCAAGGGTTGCTTACTTGCTTTCCAATCAATGTCCCCGAATCTTGGACATGCGTTAAATCAGCCTTAAAATATTGAATGGATAAATAAAAAAAAAAAACCCGTATGGCATTAGAAAGAATCAAAGAAATACGTGCTTAATTCTTGTGGTCGTGGGAAAGCAGCAATCATATTCATGTGACGTGAGAGACCAATTTGTTGACAAACATGTTCAATGAGAAATGGGTATTCAGGCCATGTGAAGACACATGTTTTGGATCATTCACTTGAACTATGCAACATAATCAGGAATTTGTCGTTTCTCTTGGAGATGATCATTGTGAGTTTGTCAATTGAAATTATTTGACTGATTAATGTTTTTAAGGAATGAGGAGGGCCCAATCTCAATCTCACCTCCAAATAGCCCTAATACAAGTATACAACGCCTAATAAAAAAAATCGCCCTTAATACAACAAATATCAATTTGCCTATTTGATCTTTAAGTTAATGGGTTTTGGGTTTGTCTATATGAACATCATTTCCTTTCTCTTTTGTTTCTTTTATCTTCTTTGTTGTGTTTGTCTTTATCACTTTCCATGTGGCGAAAGGATCACATCGATGATTCCGGATTTCCTGCCCACAAAAATTCTACCTCCAACATATTATTCCCGTGATTTGAAAATATCTCATCGTATATAATACTTTGTGAGAGGATGAGATAGATATTCTCTATATTATGTGAACAAACATGGACAGAAAATCCTGACCCTACATCAATAGGGATAATGTATTAATGACTTTTTGGCATTCAAAAGTTGCTATATACAAAGAAGAATCAATTGACACCGGAAGCTTGAGGAAATTAAATCTGCTATAACCTTGTTTTAGTTGTGACTTAGCAAAAAATATGCCTTTTTATTATTTTTTTCAGATAAGGAAATCTTCATTTTCTTCTCTTTATCAATTTTCGTTCTCTCTTTTATCATTTTCATCATGATCATCATCATTTTTTCTTTTTCTTATCTTTCTTTTCCTTTAATTTCATTTATTTCTTTATTTTCATGGGTCCCAAATAAGTCAATTTTTCCATCTTATAATGCCTATTCCTAACCTGCTGAAGTTGGGTAACGTATGATGTATGTATGTATGTATCCGAAAGAAACATTACATTATAGAACCATCTTTTTCTTTCTTTCTTTCTTTCTTTCTTTCTTTCTGTCCTTCTTCTTATGCATTTGTTCTTAATAATTAACAATTTGCATGTGATGAGGGGATCAACTCAGGGGGAACGTTCACATTTGATTACTTCTCTACAATTAAAAGTTATTATAAATAAGGAATCAAATAATTTTAGAAGCTTAATCCCTTACCATGTTTTGGTTGTGATATTATATACTTATTAATATAAGCAAAATTTTGCTTAAGATTTTATTTATTCTCCTGTGATGAGGAGTAAAATGACCCTCTAATCATTAACTGACACATGGTGGTCAAGAACCGTCTTACGACACCTCGACATCATATGTGGCACAACCTCGCTTGAATACTCCTTGATTGATCGGCTCATAAAGCATGAACGAGTCTTGACCTAGCCACGTATGTCCCCATTGACTGCCATGAGCACCAACCTACCCCTCCGACCTAGGCAGGCAACCCATGCGTGACCTAAACGATCACTTCGACCTATGACGCATGTTCTCCATTGTCTATTCGCACCACTTCACGACTCTGAAATGCACGTAGATACGATGCTCATCTAGCAGCGACAAGCCTAGTTCCCTCTGCTTCATGGGGAATTAGATTAGGGCAACCACAATGCCGTGTGGGCATTCACCGTAAAGAATGGGTGGATAAGAGTGATCCTTCACTCTCGAGGTCTATATAAGGGTGACCCTTCACCCTCATAAGGTATACTCGCTTCTTTGTGCACTTACTCTGCTTTGATTTCTTACCCATTAACTCTCTTTCTACCTTGTCAGGTCGATACTAACTTGACTATCGGAGTCCTCTCATTGAATCATCTCCCTTGCTGACATGTTTTTTCTTGTAGATCCGACTTGTCAATCTCATCTAGTGCTATTCGAGTTGTCACTGACAGTGGGGAACCAGCGCTCACTCTCATCACCTTCCTTCTAAGGAATATAAGATTCATAGTTTTGGATTTCTACTATTATAATTCAAAGGGTGCTTTAGTATATTTGAACAGATCGGTATGACAGTATTCTGCTATTTTATTTCATCTTTTTCCTGAACTTATTTACCTTATATTTTATTTATATTTAGAAAGGTTAAGTTCAGAAGTAAAACAAAGCAGTGTTATGATGAACACAATAACCATGTATTGAGAATTTGTTTGTCCACTGTCAAAATAAATACAATAACCATGTGTTGAGAATTTATTTGACTTAAGAAAACTTTTGTCTACTGCGAAAATAAATACAATAATTAAGATGGCTAGTTTTTTTAAGATGATTTTTACTCCTGATAATCTTTTAAAATAGGACTCATATGATTTTTTTTTTCTTTTTTTTGTAAAGGCTGTTTTTGGTAAGAATTAATGCAAATGCAAAACCAAAGTGAGTTTGTGCTCCTACTGTTGGATTTTGCAGTTGTTTGATAAGAATACATCTTTATACTACAAACAAAAGCAAATTTGTTTTTTCCTAACATTTTACTTTTATGCTTTAACTGATAAAATATTGAAATAACACATGGGATTTGTGCTAGATTGGGAGGACTAGTAGTAGTAGGGAAAATTAGTTAGTGCAAACAGTTTCTAGCTGTATCTTTGCTCTTTAATTAGTTGGCATAGAGAATTAAAATCATACACTTTAATTATTTTCTTTTGTAATTTCCCCTTTTTATAATAAAAAGGATCATCGGTTTTATTTTTTGCATGCTTTTAATATTTTCCTTTAGACAGTATTTTTAAGATTCTTATTATTGTATATTGCACAAAATGCCCATAATAAAGTAACCCATATAATGTTCTTGTTGGGTCCGGGTCCAACTCTATATCCGAGCCAGATACTGGGGGAACTTGATATATTTACATTTTTGGAACTTCAGATTGGATTGCAGAGCAGGCCTTAAGTACAAGGAAAATGCATATTAAAAGGATCCAGGTCCATTCCAAATTGTGTACAGATCAGATTTATAGTATTAATCCGGCCAAAACCACTAAGCACATGCAGATACATCTGACCAGCTCTACTTTATGACCTAACGTCTGATACTTTGTTCATGCTATTAAAAGTGAATAGGATATATGGAGTAGAAGAAGTGCATACATTTGGTTAGGGCTACAAATTTGGTCAGGGGTATAACCGAATCTGATCCAATAATAATCCAAGTCCTATTTAATTAGAATATCAATAAATTTGTATAAAATTAACCAAACTTTGCAAAATTAAATGTAAAAAAATATGTCTACTTTAAATAAAAGATAGATTTATCTTGAATCACAAATTCTACTTAATTCCAAAGAAATTTAAACAAATATTCAAATTCAATCCGATTCAACATGATATTATTTCTGAACCAATATCTGAATCCGGCTTAAATGATTTAGATTCAGATTTGAGGTCTGACCGGATTAAATCTGATCCATTTGCAGGTCAAGTGGCTTTTTGGCTTTACAAGGTGGGATCCTTCCAAAGAGCTTGTATAAAAAATGTTCGGTAGAAAATTTAAAGAGCCACACAGTCCAATCCAATATTGGTTATTTACAAATGGATTGGTCCAAATTCATACAAATCAACTCCAACCAGTTCAAATAAAATATAAGTGGACTGGATTGGGTCCAATCCAATTCAAATTGAATCAAACACCAAAATAACATGAGAAATTCAGAAAATTATATAAAAAAAATTACAATACACTTGTTCCAATTCAATCCAGTCCAATTAAAATGCAAATGAATCGGATTGAGTCCAATCCAATCCAAAGTGAATGAACAAAAGTGTTTTTGTAAAAACACTTTCATAAAAGTGCTTTAATAAAAAATGTTTTTACAAAAGTACTTCTATAATAGTGCTTTTATAAAAATACTTTCATAAAAGTGCTTTTACAAAAGTACTTTAAATGATTTTATAAAAGTACTTTTGCAAAAGTATTTTACTTGCATTAAATTACTTTTATAAAAGTGCTTTTGTAAAAGTGTTTTCATAAAGTTGCTTTCATAAAATTATTTTCATAGAAGTGTTTTTATGCTAGATTCAGTTTTGATCGTTTTCAAATTGGACAAAGTTTGGCCTCATGGTCGGATTATTGGGAATATGGTTTAGGTCCGATTTAGACGAATAAGAATATGGACCAATTTATTTTCGATTGGCCCAATCCAATAATTATAGCAGACTGTCCAAATCTGATTTGATAATGTTTGATTAGATTGGATCCAATCCAAAACTGGTCCATCAACACCTCTATTCGAGAGAATCCGTTTGGCAATGAGGGAGGTGCGACCACAAGGAGAAGTAGATGGCCATGCCATAAGCACCGCCATTGTTGA